TTTTTATTTTATGTTTGCATCGTAGATGGATGGTGATGGGGATTGTTCCGAAGAACAAAGTGTTCTTAATATGGTTCAAGGTGTTTCACGTGAGGCTGCAGTCCAAGGTGAATCCAGATATGTCAAACTTATCATGCACCTGCAGAGTGCAATAACACGTTTCTCCATCACAATAATATCTTTCTAGTAGAATCAATTAAGAACAGTGTAGGTACAAGTAGATATAAGAAAAGTAAAAATAAAATGAACATGCCAAGAGAAAGAAATATCTAAAGAATATGATCATATTACAACTGAACAAAAAGAGTACAACTGATGAACTAAAATAAATATGAAATATTTCAATACACAGAGTCAACTAAAATAGTATTAAGGCTCTCAACCTTCAAAATAAAATACAAGTTTATAAATCACTAAACAAATGCTAAACTAATATGGAGCACAAGCTGTCTATCAAGAAATGATGGCGACTATCCGAAACTCCGTCAACCTACGGCTTCTCTGAAACTATAATTCGCTGCCTAAAAAGAAGGGGAAATAACAACGTTAGAGTGCTAGCAAGATCATCTCCATCCGCTCCAAGGGAAGGGCTGATACATATGATGGAGGCTCTACCTATATATGCATAGTCTACCTAAATTGTTTACCATGTACTAGATGGGGTTAATACTTAAGAATCCACAATACGAGACTGGTACGTTGAGCGAAATAATCCAAACAAGAAAATCCTCATATATATATATACCTATATATGCATAGTATACCTAAATTGTTTACCATGTACTAGATGGGGTTAATACTTAAGAATCCACAATACGAGACTAGTACGTTGAGCGAAATAATCCAAACAAGAAAATCCTCATATATATATATATATAATATATATAATTAATATATATTAATATATATATAATATATATATATATATATATATATATTAATATATATATATATATATATATATATATATATATGAGATTAATGGGTATCCTTGTCATAGGAGGGATTTCCTCCTATGACGCCTCTAAAATCACAGATTGAGCGATATTATGATGATCCGCTCCGTTGAACTTGATCTACATATTCTAAAACCCAACACAACCAATTTGGGGTGAATCCGTCGTCGTTTGACCTCCATCGACCAGTGAAAAGTTCTATTCATTCAAAACCGTTAAAATGATACGAGTGGATGAAGGGTCAAACGACGACGTTCACCCACAAACTTGTGTGTTTGGGGTTTTAGAATATGTAGATCAAGTTTACGGAGCGGATATCCATAATGTTGCTCAATCTTGTGATTTAAGAGGCGTCATAGGAGGAAATCCCCTCTATTACGGAGATACCATTAATCTCTCTCTCATTCTCGCTCGCGTTCTCTCTCTGTCTCATCATTCAATCTTTATATTATATATAATATTACTATGAGCTGTGCAATATATATATATATATATATATATATATATATATATAGAGAGAGTATGAGAAATATGGGTATGCTTGATACCAAGCACAAAAAGTTATGCTTGGTAGTGAGGTGTCACATCCCCCTCCACTCATTCAAATTTGGGACCACATTCACATGAGTAGGGAGTGGATGAGGATGTGACACCTCACTACCAAACACAAAATTTATGCTTGGTACTAATCATACCCATATTTCTCATATATATATATATATATATGTATATATCTCAAATTGTGAATCACTAAATATCAAATCCATACTAAAAATAAAGGAATAAAGAAATGCAATACTAAAATGTCAACAAAACCAAATCATATATGTCAACCCAACATCTCATGCTACCCTTGGGTAGTCAATACGAATATCAGTACATAATCCTGTGAAATCCATAATACCATATACCCCGTGACAAAAGAACTCAGCGGTGAACCAAATAAATAAATAACCTCCCACCTAAAACTCGAACTGTCCTAGGTTTCACAGTACTATCTCTTGCAAAGCTCTATGGTATCATCACATTGTTATGTGGAACTGACTACCTATTCAGGCATCCTAAGTAAATACGACCCACTAGCCTCATCGCATCACTGTGCGGAATAGACTACCTCCTCGGGTATCCCACAAGTATAACTTATTAGCCTCACCGTATCACCATGCGGAACGGACTGTCTCCTCAGACATTCTCATCGCATCACCATACGGAACGGACTGCCTCCTCAAGCATCCTATAAATACTGTTCACTAGCCTCATCGCATTACCATGCGGAACAGACTACCTATTCAGGCATCCTGTAATTTACGACTCAATAGCCTACTTCAACGGTATATCGACGCACTACCTTAAGTAGTACTGAGTTGTGCCCATCAATGTTATCCATACACACACATATATTGTTCTAACTAATCGTCTCCCCGTCATGGTAAAAACAATACACGCAACTATCTCCTTCCCGTAAGTCCACTTGTGCTAAGTCTCTATAGGTGTACGTCTATGTCGTACGTGTAAATCATTGTAAGTCTCGAACCACGTGTTCACAAACAACGTGCAAGAAAAGTAATCACAAACAAGACATGATGTCGGTCGACAGCCC